CAAGGCTTTAAACTGGATGATAAAATTAATTTGATGCATAGCATAAAACCAAGACAACTTAGAAAACCAAAAATTAAGAGTATATGGTTAAAATCATGAAGAATGTCATTAAAAAATAAGCATCAAGAGTGGACTGCATGGGAATATGTGTTGAAGGTGTAAAATGAGTAGAGTCTTCACGTATACCTTCACGCATTTCTCCACTGGTCACCTCCTTTTCCCCAGGGCCTTTCACAGTGCTTTAACCTACTATACACCCAAGAAAATTTGCTGAAGATCTACCATGTGTCATAAAGGCTACACATTGTAGATATACAATAATTACATATGGTATCTTCCTATAAAGAATTTGCATTCTAGTTGGAAAGGTAAAATATAAATATATATTTAAAGTTAACTATATATATATAATATATAGTTAAAATATGTTATATATGTATATAAAGTTAAATGGCTTAACAAGGCAGAAGGAGCCAAAAGAAAAGCATCAAGAGTAAAAGCTACAGTAGTCCAGAGAAGGAATAGAGAAAGAAGAGATCACTGTGGAATGACCTGTTCAAGAACAGTTTTGTGCAAGTAAGAACATTTGCAGTGGGCCTTCAAAAACCAGGTAGGATGGGGTAAGCTCTGACTTGAGCCAGGAGAAAGACATTCAAGGCATATTCATATACTAATGAACAATCAAGTAAGTAGGGCTGTAACAAAAGGTATATGGAAACACAGGGTAGTAAAAGTAAACTGAGACTGAAATGTGAAAGGTTTTGAATGCCAAGCTGAGGAGTTTGAACATATTATGCAAGCAATCCAAAAATAACCAAGGTTTTTGAGCAAAAGAGTAACATGACGAATATGACATTACAGAAATATTAAGCTGGCTTTTGATATACATTAAAAAATGGTGTACATCTTCATTAAAGATACAGTCATGGTCATAGAAATGCATACAAATAAAGCACATTGAATATAATACAAAGAGGGGAAGACTGGGGAAAAAAATAAACTTACAAACAAAAGAATAACCCAAGATTTCTTTGTTGAGAGTAAGTAAAGCATAACATTACATAGACCAGAAAGGAAGTGAGGCAACGGTAAGATTCCTAGGGTATAACGAACAACTTTATTTTTACTTCTTCCAGCAATACTATGTGTGTGTGGAATTCAAGGTACCTAAGTATAGAGCAGAATAGTTAACTGCATTAAAGGAGTAACCAGTGAAGCTCCCAAAGTGATACACAAACAGTGGTTTTACAAAGTTAGAGAAAATACAGTTGCATTAATATGCTTCAAAAGTATTTGGAAAACAGAAGCCACAGGAGTTGTTAATTGCATTATTAATTTGGGGGAAAGGAGGGGGACAACAAAATCACATCAGGGGCTAGACACAGTGGCTCATGTCTGTAATCCCAGCACTTTGGGAGGCAGAGTTGAGCAAATCACTTGAGATCAGGAGTTTGAGACCAGCCTGGCCAACATGGCAAAACCCTGTCTCTACTAAAAATACAAAACTTGGCCAGGTGTAGTGGCTCACACCTGTAATCCCAGAATTTTGGGAGGCTGAGGCAGGCAGATCACGAAGTCAGGAGATTGAGACCATCCTGTCTAACAAGGTAAAACCCCATCTCTACTAAAAAAACACACAAAAAATAGCAGGGCATGGTGGCACGTGCCTGTAGTTCCAGCTACTCAGGAGCCTGAAACAGGAGAATCGCTTGAACCAGGAGATAGAGGTTGCAGTGAGCCAAGATCATGCCACTGCAGTTAGCCTGGGCAACAGAGCAAGACTCTGTCTCAAAAAACATTAGCCATGAATGGTGGTGCATACCTGTAATTCCAGCTACTCAAGAGGTTGAGGCATGAGAATCACTAGAACCCCAGAAGCAGAGATTACAGTGAACCAAGATTGTGCCATTGCCCTCCAGCCTAGGCAACAGAGCAAAACTCCATGTCAAAAAAAAAAA